GTATACTAGGTCACGCTAGCCATTTCTCGGACTTCTGTTTTCTGCACGTATTGCTGTCAAATGCATCCAAGCATGGCCGGAATTGCGGCCAGATGCGTCCATGAAGCTCCTCGTCCTCCTCTTACTCCTCTTACTCCTCTCCTCCTCCTCCTCCTCCTCCTTTTCCTCTTCCTCCTGCTCCTCTGCGAAACCCCAGTCGTCATCTCTCTCCTGATTGTTGTTGAAGTGGACTCCTATCCTCTTGTTTGTGTGGTATCAACGGCCATAACGAGAATTGATAATTTATAGTTAATTAATTAATAATTTATATAGTAATTAATTAATAATTAATATTTATAGTTAATTAATTAGTAATTTATAGTTAATTAATTAATATTTAATATTTATAAGTTTATAGTTAATTAATTAATAAAACTGGGGTAGCAGGTGTCGGCGGCAGCGAAGGTACTGCTGGGGCCAAGTTCCACTAGCAGCGTTGAGTTTCCTCGACGCCGTGGAGATGTGCAGAAATCGCGCTGAGTTTCCTCAACCGCACATCGCCACCACCACGTCCAGATTCAGGCGTTCAGAAAACTCAACGCTGCTAGTGGGACTTGGCCCCTGGTTAGCCCGCCTTGACAATAATTACTGTATTATCTCATTGATTATTCAAAAGTATTTAGGCTTGTTTAATGTGTTCATCGTGGTCCTAACTGCGTACGACTAGAATTATATCTACTTGTTGACGTCATTCGCGGATTTTTCATTTTTTGTTTATTTTTACCCGTTTCTGTATAACACCTCAGATTTACGGCACTCTGATTGGACCCAAAAAAAAAAAAAAAAACTGATCGGACAGTCTCTCCAACCAGCCGCACCGGATCTGGAAAGCCAGAAAGTGCCACGTCAGCGATTCGAGCCACGTCAGCACCCACGTCAGCTTCCATTTCAGCCACCCAAGCTCTCCTCCTCTTCTGGCACAACCTACGGACCCTCCAAACGGCCACGCACACGCACTCACCCACTCACCCAAACATACACACACCCACTCACCCACTGACCCACTCACCCACTCTCCCAAACATACACACACGCATAGAGACACGCTCAACCCCCGCAGTCGAACATGCACGCGCACACAAACATGCACGTGCTCAGACACACACCCTCCCCCCCTCCCCCCCCCTCCTCTTCCCCAGGCGCGCGTGGGTGCACGCACGCGCAGACATACATACTTCCCCGCCTACCGAGGAGGAGGATGTGGACAAATTTGAAATTTGACAGATCCAAACGATCGTTCTGTCTGCAGCAGTGGATGGTCATTTCCCCCTATTGATCTCCACACACACATACACAGACTTACTGCCAAAAAAAAAAAAAAAAAAAAAAAAAAAAAAAAAAAAAAAAAACACTTGCTGGCGTTCTTGTTAGGGGTTTGGACTGACAGTCCGCTAGCATTGCAGGTTTGGTGTGAGTAAAGTTAACCCCTTTTCTCTCTCAGGGGTATGGCTAACTCTGCGGGACGTCGTGAGTCCTTATCCATCAGTCAAATGCGTCCTGGCCAGGGGAGAAAAAAAAAAAAAAAAAAAAAAAAAAACTCGAATAAAGGGGTTTAACCTCATCCTTATGAGTCAGTTAAAAAAGGGGTTTAACCCCCTTCTTAAGAGTTATTATAAGTTCGACGAAACAGTGTGGACACAGTCATGTTTCTTTTTTTTTTGTGGGGTTTATCCCCCTTCTAGTGTATAGCCAAGATGACAACACCCACACACGCGGCCCCATTTGCAAGCTCTTGAATTAAAAAAAAAAAAACTTTAAGGGTAAAAAATTACTAAAAATGGCTGTCCGCTCTTGTTGCACACATGTGTCATACGGACTCTGTATTTTCGATGACGATTTCAGATGGCCGGCGGCCCGCGCCGTTTTAAAAATAGGAATGCTGCTATAGTGATTTTCAAAATAGCCCCCTGCTGTAGCAGGTATCGCACCTGCTGGTGGGTGCAGCTCCCGCATGTTCCCTCGTTGGAGGCTTGAGCACGGATGTGGCTGCTTCGGGTTCCCCGTAATACTATAATGACACTAAAAAAAGGCCTGAAAGGCCGTCCTGTCCAGATTTGACAGGTAATTGAATTGGTTGGGCTTAAAGAATTCGCCCCTCTTCACAAATTTATGAAAAAAAAAAAA